AAAGATGTAACTTAAGAAGAGAAATCTGTGAACCTCACTGGAAGCAGAATCAGGAGAATGGGGCCTCTCTGCCTTCAAGTTTCTATACTGGGGCCATGGTGGAGCTCAGCCAAGTCCTTACACACCAGCACAGCCTGCTGAGTACCCCTGACCCTTCTTGTGCTCTCCCTAATCCCCAGAGCTACAGCATACCCACAACCAGTGGTTAGTCATGACTGCTAAGTCCCACTTGCGGTTTGCCCAAGTTTCATCCAGGTGACAAATCCTGTGTAGCAGGATCATCATAAGACATACAACCAATCAAAGTCTAAATGCCCAAATCTAACCACAAAAACAAACAAGATGAAAGGTCAAGACAGTATTTCCCTATCCTCTAAATACAGAATTACCTAGATGAATCTCAGGATGTAGAACTTAAAAGAACAATCATGAACTTCATTTAAAAATCCAAGGGGCTTAAAGATGATACAAACAAACAGTTCCATGAGCTTAAATTAAATTCTTAAATGAAATAAATGCTTGAGTAATGTCCATGGAAACAAAACGCTGAGTGAAATGATGAGGGAAATCTAGGGTTTTAAAACTGAATTAAATAGAGACACTGAAATATAGAAGAGAACTCAAGCTAAAATGAATATGGAATTACAAAGCTTAAAAAGCCAATGAGATATCTCAAAGAGGAAGCCTTAATAGAAAGGATTAGTAGTAGATATAATATCGGGGCACAAAGATAAAGCAATGAATATGAAAAACATTATCAAAACACAAGATAGGAACATGCAACGACAGTAGGACACCATAGAAAGGCCACATCTTGAAGCTGAAGAGATTGCCTAATGGTTAAAGAGTACCAACTGCTCTTCCAGAGAATCTGGGTTCAATTCCAAGCAACCACAGGGTGATTCACAACCAGTTATTACTCCAGTGTTAGGTGATATGACATCCTCTTCTGGCCTTCTCTGATACCAGGTACATATGTGACATACAGACACACATAGAGCTAAAACAAACTGTACATAATAATAATAATAATAATAATAATAATAATAATAAAATTTGAAAAACCTAGAGCAACAGAAAGGATATCTTAATTGAGAGAGCCACTATGGTAAGCATGGTGCCACGGTAACTCCCATGATTCCACAAGAGGTCCTCAGCTAAGATTCCTAACAATAGCAGAGAGGATGCCTGAACTGGCCTACTCCTGTAATCAGATTGGTGGATACCCCAACTATCATCTGTAGGGTTGGTCTTGTGGATAGGTATTGATTAAATCTGGTTTTATTATGGAGTATCTTGCTTTCTCCATCTATGGTGATTGAAAGTTTTGCTTGGTAAAGTAGTCTGGGTAGCATCCATGGTCTCTTAGAGTCTGCATAGTGTCTGTTCAGGACATTCTGGATTTCAGAGTCTCCATTGAGACGTTGGGTGTTATTCTGATGGATCTGCTTTCGTAGTTACTTGATCTTTTATTTTTGTAGCTCTTAATATTATTTTTTATTCTGTATATTTTGTGTTTGTATTATTATGTGACAAGAGATCTTTATTTGGGGGAAAGTGGTCCAGTCTATTTGGTGTTTTGTAAACTTCTTGTATCTTGAAAGGAATTTCTTCTATGATTTTGTTGAATATATTTTCTGTGCCTTTGATCTGGTATTCTCCTTTTCCTATCCCTATTATTCATGTTTGCTTTTTTTCCTGGTGTTCCACATTTCCTGAATGTCTTCTGCTAACATTTTTATGGATTATACCCTCAGATAACCTCTCCTTCCATAGTGTTAAGTAAACATTATCTACATGCCATCTTTTCTGGTGCATTTAGATCTCTGTGAATAACTTGTGCTACAGGTGACATGCAACAATATGAAGACAGTGATGTACATATGCTGGTCAAGACACATGACCATTTCATTGTTTCCCATGGCTCTGCTGTGAAATCTGTGTGACCCTCCATAAGAAAACACTCATGTTAGGGTTACAGTCTCCCCTTTGAAATCCAGATGTGGTAACATCTACTTCTTGTGACCATTTTGTGATGTTCATCGTCCAGAGAATTATTGGGGCACACAGAGCACACTGTGCAGAAAACAGAATCATCTCAAAGACAGATGATCAGAAGCCAGGCTTTCTTTTGCTTCTCAGAGTTTGTGCTCAGCTCCCCATGTGGTTTTCACCACTGTGTCACTCAGAGCACAGTACTACACAGCCGAGTCTGACTCTTGGACCGAGGCTTTCTGCAAGTAGAAGGAAGTGGATCCTATATCATATGTAGCTTCAAACCCTCTGCTGCTTTCCGTCTCGTCGGCCTTCAAGGCTCTAAAGAGGAGCTGTGGACCTTCTCTAGGATATTGGGCATACCAGAAAAGAGTCAGATATGATGTGTTTGAATAAGTGCAGTTAATAAATAGAAAGTCACCTTCTGAGAGGGTCACATGACCTTGCTTCTGGGTCACTGAGTCTCCATGTGTCCTCCCTGGAGGAAGAAGAGGATATCTGTGTCACATTAAGGACAAAGATGATTAAATATCTTTCTGACATCATAGAAGAAAAAGTGCAAATTTTAAGTCACTTCACTTACCAAGCATGAATAGTAGCATCACAGTCACTAAAACTGGAGAATTGTTCATCTTTAGTATCACCAAAGTAATGACTCCACACTGACATGTGATGAAATAACAGCAAATGATTAACTTAGGAAGCTGATAGACACAGATAATGATTTTGTGTTAGAAAACTCCTCCTTCTGGTGGACAGAAACGAATTAGGGTCTCTTGTTTACCTCCCCAGAAGTCATTGATGTGCTCTCATCCTTGAAATCATTCATAAGGCACAGGTCAAATATTAAATGGCCCTTATCAACATAAAGGATTAAGCAGTGGCCATTGATAGATTCAATGTTGTCATTCTTAGGATTCTACCTGACATGAAAGATTTATAGTGGTGCAACTTGTTTCTCTGTTTTGATCTTTACCATATAAGTTGAAGGTAGAAAAATAGACTTTTCCAAGTTGGTTTTCACTAATTCAAATTTGTATTAAGATATCTTGAGGGCTAGAGTGATGGCTCAGCACTTGAAAGCACTTCTTGCTCTTGCAGAAGACAAAGGTTTGATTTTTAGATCACTCATAGTGGGCACCACGCACACAGGTAAACAGGAATGAAGGCAAAACAGGCATGCACATAAAATAAAGTAAGTAATAACTATAAGTAAAACTAGCTTATAGTTATTATGAAATAGAGTCGTAATAAACTGGTCCTAAGAATGTGTAATCACTAGAAACTGCTCTTTTTACCTCCCAGAATTTTGATACAATGGGATTGTGCTGCCCATTTACTTAGGAGGTCACTGGTGTCTTTAAACAATGTGTTATGATTAACTGTACAGGACAGCCACACACACACACACACACACACACACACACACACACACACACACACACACAGTTGTGACTGGAATGCAGGACTCACATGTTGTACCATTTTTTGTATCAAACATAAGCTATGACCTTTTTCTTAGCTCTGTTCTGTAAATGTCATTGTGACCAGTGGGGTGAGCTGTTAGGAATCACAAAGATGAGTATCATTTGGCATTGGGGAGATATTTGTGACTCTTTCTGTTGACCTGACAAAGCATCCCAAGCAGCCAGCTCACAAAAGTGTCTTAGGAAAAGTTCCTTCCAGCACATGGGCCACAGACTGATAGCTGGGAAACCAGCATTGGACTGACCCAGTCCCCCTGAACATGGGTCTCAGTTAGAAGGCCTGGGCAGTCTAAGGGCAGACATTGGAACCAGGATGTATCCTTGGTTCACAAAAGGAATTTGGGAGCACATTCCCCATAGAGGGATGCTCCCTTAGCCTAGAGACATGAGGGAGAGCCTAGGCCTAGGCCCTACCTCACATGACTTGAAAGATTGTTGATGAATCCTCCTGGAAAGCCTCACCCTCCCTGGGGAGTGGATGGGGGAATGGAACAGGAGGGGGGGTCAGTGGGGGGAATGGGAGGGAGGGAGAGAAAGGAAGGGAACTAGGATTTATATGTAAAATAAGAAAGAAAGAAAAAAAGAAGTATATCTAAACATAAGCCTGGTGGAGTCTAGTTACAGCATTCCTCTATGGCCATTGCTTCAGGTTCTTGCCCTGACTTCTCTTCATTAAGGACTGTGATGAGGACATGTAAGCCAAATAAACCCTTTGCTTTAAGAAAGAAAGAAAAAAAGAAAGGAAGGAAGGAAGGAAGGAAGAACGAACTAAAAGCTCCTTCCTTCAAGTGGCAAAGCTTTTACCCATGACTCTAGCTCTTACACCTGCCATATTTGTCTTAGAAATTTATCTTCAATTACAGAATTATTCTCACAAAGCTATTCTTTCCAACATTTGCCTACATGATTCCTAATTCTGGTTGTTTTTAGTTATAAGTGTAACCTGTAAATGCCAGCCTTTACTCGGAACCATTGTCTCTTATAGTTCAAGGTAATAAATGTGAGCCCATCTACATTTTCCTCACTTATAACTTCTGTGGTTTGAGTGATGTTCACACTGTCTTTATATAAGATGTAGAATCATGTATTAAAACAACATTTTTTGTTCATTCCATTTTTCTTTTGTTTTTTTTTTTTTTGTTTTGTTTTGTTTTTTTATATTTCCATAGCCATGGTCTTTTGTACAGGTTGACATACTGGGTATGTAGCTCCTCCCTAGAAGTAGGCCTCAAGTCCAATGAGAAGGTATTCAGTTGCCCCTAAAAACTGTCATGTCACTGTTGCATTCTGATAGTTTTTCCTCTCCCAGTGGCCCTATTGTAGTTTCCTTGCTTCTACACTGACTCCACTTTAAACACAGATAACTAAAGATGTGAAGGTAGGATCCATAATGAGAGGTAATGAGGGAGTGCACTTTCTTTTTTGTCAGATTACCTTCCTCACAGCAACAGAAAACAAACTAGGACAGGTGTAATAGCAAAGCCTATGCTCCTTGTCTCCAAATAATTTCAGAATTGTCTAGATTGACTGAAGCAGACTTGTGCTGAAATTTCTATTAGATCTGATGACATTCAGACTGCATAATTTTATCTTCTTGACAAATAGCTGACAGTTGTCTATAGGGAGGTGAGCTAAAAATATTAATTTCTTCTCATAGGATACAACTCCATTATATCGCACTTGAGGGGCTTTCATGTTGGGCCTAAAAAGGCCAAAAGGCCAGGATTCAAGGCCTAGTGGAACTTCCTGACCCTGGCTAAAGTTTGGCCACCTGTCTTTGGCCTGTAACCTCCACATGGGAGTGACTCAGCAAAGCCTGATGTAAGACTGCCTCCTGCCTGGCTAACTGCTAGCTTGGCAAAATATTATTGGCCCTTTCTCTTCATGTCACGTTACCCCCATCCTAAGATTCCTACCCCCTACCCCAACCCTATATAAGGTCCTACTTGATGCAATAAACCAAGTCCCTGCCCTGACCAGGCTTCCTGTCTAGTCTGATTGTCCCTGCAGTGCACAGAAGCTGGGGAATGGGCAGACAGCACTCTCCTGGGTCCTCTCCTCTAAGGGAGGAATTGCAGAGTGGTGGCCATCCCCCCTGAACTTTCATAACTCTACTTCAGCCAATCAAGAAGTGGCCATGTCTATTTTATGATGTTTTGTACTTCCATGCAATTTTAAATTAATTTAGGATTTATGAAAGAAACGTTAAAGTTTGTTTTATTATTACTTGAATATATGATTGTATGTCTGTGTATGGGTGTGTGTGGGAATGCAGGCATCCATGGAGACAAAAGAGCATTGGAACTCCTAGAGCTGAAGTTGCATGAGGTTGTGCACCCTCCAGGTGTGATTACTTGGCACTGAAATCCAGTCTTCTGCAAGAGCAGGGAGTTCTCTTAATTGCTAAGCCATTTGTCCAGATTCCTGTTTAGTAAGTCTTACCTTAAAAATTAAAAGCCTGGAGTTTGAGAGACATCTTTGCAGTTCAGAGCACTTGCTGCACCCACATGGCAGCTCACTACTATCTGTTACTCCAGCAGCAGGAGATATGATGCCTTCTTCTGACCTCCATGGACACCAAACTCATATGTTGTATACCACACACACACACACACACACACACACACACATATATATATATATATATATATATATATATATATATATAGTATTTGTAATTAATAAATCCTTTTTAGAAATTGGAAGAGGGTGTATCCTTTGAAACTGGACTCCATAACTCTGCATTTTGAATGGTTTTCTGTAGTAGTCTCCATCTACTGCAAAGAGAAATTTCCTTGATGAGAGTTGGAGACTATGCATATCTGTGGGTATTATAGTTGTTTTTTGTTTTTTTAGGTATTATACTGGGATAGTAAATTAGTGATTGTAAACTCTGCTTAAAAAAAACATAATTTCACTAGCACTGAGTATTTAGCTAGGTTTCCAGTACAAGACATGGTATCCCTGTTGTTGAGTAGGTCTAAATCTACTTAGGAATTATTTGGTTACCATTAAGGTATATGAGCCACTAATGCACCCAGTGGGTTGTCATGACATGATGGTTATTGATGTGCAATAATGTCAACAATTGCTTTTGACTCCCTTATAAATCCAAACTTTCCAGAGAAGCAAAATTAATTATGTGGCTAAATATATGGTCTCTTGGGTATATCAAATTATAAAATTATACAGATAGGATAAGAATGCATCTGTCTAAAGACTCGCAAGCCCATGGATGTCAGGGACTATGATCCTGAGACTACTGGTTTTCACGCATGAGGGAAGTTTGAATGGCAAATATAAAATCATTACAGCATAGTTTTGAAACAGAATATCACCAATTCCTCAGTGATAGTACACAGAACTTTTGGACTGCTGAACACAGACATGATAGAATCAGCTCACGTAGAAAGGAAATGAAGGCTATCCTTAACTTCAGACGTTGCTCTGTGCATTTATTCACCAAACTATTCATTTTCCACTGTTTAATTAAAGCAAGATATCATAGTACACAATACATGTTTAACACAGACAATAAATGTTAATTTTAAGTAATTATTAAGCAGCAATCAACAATATGTTCTAAACTTTCTGGGTAATCTTGGGCATTATCTTATACATTTTGAATATCTATATGTTAGTTTCCAATCTCAAATAAACAATGTGGCAAATGCTGTCCTAGACTTGCCTGTCATAGAAAAAAAAAACAAAAAACAAAAAACAAAAAAAGGTGCCACTCCACTCCTGGTGGCAGGTTTGAAGACAGGCTGCAGGTGTCTGGGGAGCAGTGTGCATCTGCTGCACAGAAGTAGGTGGCTGCATCTGCAGGCCGAGTGTCTGTGATGTACAGGGATAGCTGTTTGTCTTTCTTATCCAATAGAAGTGTGACTCTTTGGCTCTGCTTCCTTTCCACATTTGAACGGATGTCAATGATGAACTGAGGATGCTTCCCAGGCACTTGTTTGTACCAAGGGAAGTAGACTGAGGCACTGTCTGAGTAAGTACAGTTGATGACAGTGTCAGCTCCCTCCTGGACACTCAGGGTGGAAAGATGCTGTTTTACTTCCTCGCTTCGGCTCTCCCCTATGCAGACACATAGAGAGAAAGAACAAATGTTATCCAGCCATCGTGCTTCCTTATTTTTTTCCTATGGTTAAGTATAGAAAACCTGAATAAAGCCATTTCTCTGGCAGCGAAGGACTATCCATTAACACACTCTATATCCCCTGCTCCCCAATCCTCAACTCACATTCCAGCTGCAGCCAGATAAAAATGAATAAAATAAGAATGATTGTCTTCATTCTGCTTTCTGTTCAAATCAATTGTAGGTGCTCAGTCTCTACCCAACTGAGCATCTAGCAAGTTCCGATTGTTATAACAATCATACATGTTGGATCATATGCCCAACCAATAAGAAAAGGCTGTTTATTCAGAATTCACTCAGATGATTTCCTGTGCATCAGATGAGGGACACTGCCTCCCTGTGGTCAGATTTCTAACTGCGTGCATCTAGCTGGTTTTTCCTCTTACTCATGTAGAAGATTGTAGACAGATCCATATCTATTGCCATGCACAAAACCTAATGGATCAAAAACCTAAAAATAAATCCAGCCACACTGAACGTCTTAGAAGAGAAAGTGGGAGGTACCCTTGAACGAATTGGCACAGGAGACCACTTCCTGAACACAGGAAGTAGCACAGACACTGAGATAGACAATAAATGGGACCTCCTCAAGCTGAGAAGCTTCTGTAAGGCAAAAGACGGCAGCCCACAGAATAGGGAAAACTTCACTAACCCCACATCTGACAGAGGGCTGATTTCCAAAATATACAAAGAACTCAAGAAACTAGTCACCAAAACACCAAATAATTTAATTAAAAATTGGGGTACAGAAAAAAAAAGAGAATTCTCAATATAGGAATCTAAAATGGCTGAAAGACACTTAAGAAATTGCTCAACATCCTTAGCCATCAGGAAACTGTAAATCAAAAACAACTCTGAGATACCGTCTTTCTCCTGAAAGAATGGGTAAGGTGTAAAATACCAATGACAGCTTATGCTGAAGAGGATGTGGAGAAAGAGGAATGTTCCTTCATTGCTGGTAGGAGTGCAAACTTGTACAGCTACTTTGGAAATCAGTATGGTGGTTCCTCTGGTAAATGGGAACCAGTCCACCTCAACATCCAGCAATTCTACTCTTAGGCATGTACCCAAAGTATGTATATTCTTACAAGGACATCTATTCAACTATGTTCATAGCAGCATTATTTGTAACAGCCAGAAACTAGATCAGCCTAAATGCCCCTCAACTAAAGAATGGATGGAGAAAATGTGGAACATTTACACAATGGAATACTACCCAGCTGGGGGGGAAAAATGGAAGCTTGAAATTCACTGGCAAATGAACAGAATGAAAATAAACCATCTTAAGTGAGGTAACCCAGTTTCAGGAAGACAAACATGGTATGCACTCACTCATTTATGGATATTAGACATAGAGCAAAGTTTTATCGAACTACAATCCACACCACCAGAGAAGCTAGGAAACAAGGAGGACCACAAGGGAGACATACACAGTCCCCAGTGAAGGGGAAAGAAACACAAACTCCTGAAAAAATGGAAACTGGGGGGGGAGTGGGGAGGGAAGTAGGAGAAAGAGGAGGGGAGAAGTGGAGGGAAGAGGAGAACATGAGGGATCAGGAAGATTGAATGGGGAGATGAGAGGAGAGAAAGGAAAGAGACACATCAATAGAAGGAACCATTATAGGTTTAAAGAAAAATCTGGCCTAGGGAAATAAACAGAGATCCCCAAGGATGGCCCCAACTAGGAATCTAAGCAATAGTGGAGAGGCTACCTTAAATGCCCTTCCCCTATAATGAGAATGATGACTACCCTAAATGCCATCCTAGAGCTTTCATCCAGTAGATGATGGAAGCAGAAGCAAAGATTCACAGCTAAGCATTGAGTCAATCTCCTAGAATCCAGTTTCAGAGAGGGAGGAGTGAGAAACAAAGGGGTTAAGACCATGCTGAGAAAACCCACTGAAACAGCTGACCTGAGCAAGTGGGAACTCATGGACCCCAGGCTGACAGATGAGGAACCAACATAGGACCAAACCATGCCCTCTAAATGTAGGTGTCAGCTAGGAGGACTGCACAGTCCATGGGGCCTCTGGCAGTGGAACCAGGATGTATCCTGTATCCCTAATGCACAAAAGGAATTCAGGAGCCCATTCCCCATGGCTCCTTTAGCCTAGAGACATGAGGGAGGACCTAGGTCCTACCCCAAATGACTTGACAGGTTTTGATAATCCCTCATAGAAAGCCTCACTCTCCCTGAGGAGGGATGGGGGATGGGATGGAAATTTGCTGGGGGCCATGGAAGGGTGGGGGGAGAGGGATTGATATATAAAATAAGATTGTTTCTAATTTAAATAGAATTTATTTAAAAAATAAAAATAATAAATATAAACTTCAGTAGGAGATCCCAGTGCAACTGCAGCATCTCTACATTTCCAAGCCTATATGTGATCACACAGACTGTGCAGTAGCTTAACCAGGTGAGTGTACTTGCTTCCAACTCACCCATGTGAGTATCACACTGTCAAACATTGATGGGACACATAACCTGTGAACCAGCCTAACCAAGTGAGTGCTCCAGATCCCCAATAGCCCGCTCTATTTTCACATTCTCAGGTCTAGCTGTGTTTATAGCTCCTGTGCACCAGGCCAGCCAGCTCATTGCCCCAGGCCCATCCAGTCAGGTCTTCTCCACACTTCCAGAAAGACTATTTTGGTTCCTGTAGCCTTCATACCAACCCATACTGGTAAGTGATGGGACATGTCATTCTGTAAATATGTTTCTCATATTGGTTAATGAATAAAGTAAGATAGGCAGGACTAAGAGAGAAGGAGGATTCAGGGAGAAGTAGGAGGAGATTCAAAATGTAGGACCGAGAGAGAAGAATGCTGGGCCCTCTCTCCGGTAAGATAAGACCACATGGAAATACTTAGATTAATAGAAATGTCTTAATATTTAAGACAGAGCTAGCCAATAAGAAATGCTAGTAACAGGCCAACAGCTTTATGTCTTATACAGTGTCTCTGTGTGTTATTTGGGGCTGGTGCGGCAATGAGACAAGGCTAGTGGGAAACCCTGATCATAACAAAATGGCACTGGCAACATGGCTACTAAAAACTTTCACTCAAAACTTAACAAAAGCTTAAGAAAGGGTTTTAGAAACAAAAGAACAGAGACAAGCAAGGCTTCTTGGTACTAGCATTTTTCTCGATTGGGTTCTGTTTTGCTAGAGACAAAGACACTTGCACGGCTCCTTTTAGGGAGATTTCCTGACTCAGCATAGTGACAAAAACAAAAAACAAAAAAAAAAAAAAAAAAAACACAAGGGTTTTAAACAGCTTTGCTAACAACTTTCTGGTGTGTATGAGAGCTGGCAATGGCATTGACCACATCCCCAAGCCAGCAACATGCTGCTGGATGGCAGCATAGGCCAAGGCAGTGAGCAAGCTCTCAGTTCTGGCAGTAAAGGTACCTGCCGCCATCTTTGATAGACTGAGACTAATACAGCTATGGCTTTCATTTGACCAATGTTGTTTACCAGATAAAAGACTTTTCACCAGAAAAAGATAACCATTTGTAGTAAAGACAGATTCAGATTAAGAAAAACCTCTAAAGGTTACAGTGTGTTTTAAAATATATGTAGGATTGGGAGAGAAAAAGAAAACAGGATACAATGGTTTCAAAAAGAATAATAAAAAGAAAGTAGCTGTGTGTGGTGGCACACGCCTTTAATTCCAGCATTTGGGAGGCAGAGACAAGTGGATCTCTGTGATTTTAAAGTAAACCTGGTATATGAAGTGAATTCTAGGACAGCTAAAGTTACACAGAGAAACACTCTCAAAAAATGAAAAAAATAAAATAAAAACAAAATAAATAGAGTAATAAAAAAGCCACATAAATATGGAAAGCACAAAAAAAAATTCTGGATACTATATGCTGTTCTGTTATCGTTGTATTGTTTGACTGCTGAGGAAATAGCAACAACTGTTAAAACAAATGCTGCTGAATTAATCCAATTTATATATTTTAAAAATGCTTTGACTCCAAAATTTAAGACTAAGGACAAGTTACTGGAGAAAAGGGTTTCTGTTTTTGTTTCCACAGGGGGAAAAAAAAAAGCTGTGGATTCCTTCCAGACTAACATGGTTTGATCAAGCAAGACCCCCTGAAGCAATGTCCCAGGTGATCCAACATTCAAAACAGCTGGGACAAGGCAGCCTTGTAGACCACTACAGCCAGGATTTCTACATCTTAGGATCCCCAAGACAGTGCCCCTTACCAGCAGGAAGTAGTTTGGAAAGAACGACGCCCAAATACCTAAATATTATTTATAAATGTCTGTTTTCATTTATATGAGGTTGGTTACAAATGGTTAATGACCACAACCAATCTCTTTAAAGTATAAAGGAGATTATGGTATAGATATGAATTTTTGTTTTGTAATATATTTTCATTTATTGATACAAACTTAAGGTCAATTTTGTGATATGTATATTTCTCCTCTTGTCTAGGTATTGTGCTTATATACCTCATTTAGAAATGTAATGTATAATTTAGCACAGATTATAAGAGTTATCTATAATAGTCAAAACTTATAGTTAAGTTAGTTAGGATTTCTAGCTATACAGAGATGTATTTGTGATAAATAGGCATTCTTCAAACCTTTCAAAGACCAACAAAATATGTCATTTAAAATGGTTTAGGGTTTTTCTTAACAGTAAAGGACAACTGATCCTGGCAACACCACCTGCGTCAGAAAGGAAGATGGACATCAAATCAACTTGTTATGGAATTTGCCTCCAATATGGCAAGACTAGCCATTTGGGCAAGATAATGCTCTTGTCTGGACTGTTTGACTTTATGCTGTATAAACTGGACATGCAGGCCCCACAGAAAAGTGACTGCTGATACAAGATGGACATTGCTACAGGATTCCTGCTTCATGAAAGAGTCTGCCAGACAGTCTGCAGGACACAGAGAAAAATGACTGACTAACTGCCGATACAGGCAGACAGTTTAAAGTTTCTTGCTTTGCTGAAGAATCTGCCAGATACACTATGGCCTATAGACTGAAGATAGAAAATTACAGAACTTTAGGTGACTGATCAGGTAGTAAGCTTTCTCTGTCATTTCTAGAGTTTATATAATAATCTGTGGTCTTTGATAGAGTTGAAGACAGATAGTTATAGTTACAGTTTTCCCTAGTTAGGATTAAAGAT